ACCGCGCTGGCCACGCCGTGCGGGGGCTCCGCCGCCGGTGCCATTTTGTCACCGGGAAGATGCGGGAGAGGCTGCGGCGCCCCGGCCGCACCCGCAACGCCACGGCAACGCCACGGCAACGCCACGGCAGATCCCGGGAGCCGCGGCAGATCCCAGGAACTGCAGCAGATCCTGGTGGCCATGGCAGATCCCGGCAGCCGTGGCAGATCCTGGAAGCCGTGGCAGATCCCGGCAGCCGTGGCAGATCCTGGAAGCCGTGGCAGATCCCGGGAGATGTGGCAGATCCCAGGAGCCACGGCAGATCCCAGGAACTGCAGCAGATCCTGGTGGCCATGGCAGATCCCAGCAGCCATGGCAAATTCCTGGAAGCCGTGGCAGATCCTGGTGGCCATGGCAGATCCCGGCAGCCGTGGCAGATCCCAGCAGCCGTGGCAGATCCTGGAATCCACAGCAGATCTCTGGGGCCGCGGCAAACCCCGCGGGCCGCGTGCCCCACATCTGCTGTGGACACGCTGCAGTTCCTGCTCAGGGGGTGACGGTGACGGGAGGTGACCTCTGCCAGCCCCTCAGGGCCGAGTGACCCGTCGCTGGCCACGCCGTCGCCCATCCCGAACCAAAATCTCCCCGAAGCGATGCCTGGCACCGCCGCCGGCGCCGTCACGGCCTCTCCTCCACCTTGCAGATGGCGTCCGCTACCGACTCCCGCTACGGGCAGAAGGAATCCTCGGACCAGAACTTCGATTACATGTTCAAGATCCTGATCATCGGCAACAGCAGCGTGGGGAAAACCTCCTTCCTGTTCCGGTACGCCGACGACTCCTTCACGCCCGCCTTCGTCAGCACCGTCGGCATCGACTTCAAGGTCAAGACCATCTACCGGAACGACAAACGCATCAAGCTGCAGATCTGGGTGAGGGGAGAGCCTGGGCGTGCCCCCGGAGCCCTGGGGTGGGGTGGGGTGGTGGATGGTGGGGGTGGTGGTCAGTGTGGGGTGTGGTCAGTGTGGGGTGGTGGTCAGTGAGGGTGGTGGTGTGGGGACTGACGGTCACTGTGGGCTGACGGTCACTCTGGGATGATAGTGACAGTCACTTTGGGGTGATGGTCACGGTCACTGTGGGGTGATGGTCACCCTGGGGTGGTGGTCACAGTCACTCTGGGCTGATGGTCACTGTGGGGTGATGGTCACTGTGAGGTGATGGTCACAGTCATTCTGGGCTGATGGTCACTCTGGGGTGACGGTCACGGTCATTCTGGGCTGATGGTCACTCTGGGCTGACGGTCACCCTGGGGTGATGCTTGCCTGGGTGATGATGGTCACTGTGCTGATGGTCACTCTGGGGTGACGGTCACTCCGGGGTGATGGTCATGGTCACTCTGGGCTGATGGTCACTCTGGGCTGATGGTCACCCTGGGCTGATGGTCACTCCGGGGTGATGCTTGCCTGGGTGATGATGGTCACTG